GGGGCCAGGAGGCGGCAGAGGTCGGGCGGCACAGGTAGGGATGCGGTTAGGAGTTCAGGAGAGGCCGTTACCAAAGCTGCGCTCCGAGCGGATGCGGCCTCCGGCGCGGGCCGTGGCCTCCAGGACCCGCACGTGCGGGAAGGCAGGGTGACCGCAGAGCCTCTGAGCGGCGCCCAGCCCCGCGATGCCGCCGCCCACCACCAGCACCCGTGGGCCGCGACCCGGGGCTTCCGTGTTGCTGCCGCTCGACTTCATCGCGCCGTGCCAGGTAGTCCCCGCGGGTCCCCGCCGCTACGAGGTGCAGATCGCGCGAAGACTCGAGGTAGGCTGAGAAGAGAGGGGATGGGGGCGGGGCGGGGAGGGGCGGGGCGGGGCGTAGAGGAGAAGGGGCGGGCGGGGCGGGGCTGGCGGGGGGAGGGGGCGGGGCTGGCGGGGGGAGGGGCGGGGCTGGCGGGGGAGGGGCGGGGCTGGCGGGGGGAGGGGCGGGGCCGTGTGGGACCCTGGAAGCGGATGTAGTCATGTGACTTAAGGTACCTATTTAGATAATTCACGGGGCTTCGGACTCAGCGGTCAGTGCTGGACAAAACCCCAGGCTTCATGGAGGTCAGTGGGAGGAGGCAAAAAACAGACATATAAACATGTGACAGTTTTCTCCAGCGAAATGTGCGTGCAAGGGATGTGTGCACTTTCAGAGAAGGATGTGGGGAGACGTGCTGCCGTCTCCCGAAGCTGTCTGAAAATTCCTGCGGAATGCCCAGCCTCAGGCTGACGGCGCTCCTGACACCGAGCAGTTTCTGTAGCTGGTCCTACAGGCCACCAAACCGGTCGAGGTGCCCCGGCAGCGGGGCACGGTGGTGTGCACGCTGCTCGCTGGGCCGGAGGCCCTGCGCGCCTCACTCCCCACCCCTCACTCCGCCGCCTCTGCGGGAGCTCGCTGGCCAGTCGGAGCTCGCGGTGCTCGCGCTCCAGGCGGTCAGGGCTTCCATGGCGGAACGTGCGGGTCCCGCGAGGCTCTCCGCGGGTCCGGAGGCGCCCCCCGGACCACTGCACGTCACCAGGCGCAGGCAAAAGTAGCACAAAGTCCCGGGAGGAGCTCCGGTGGCTGCGGGGACCCTGAGGTGGGTCCCGGGTGAGCAGCACCACCTCCCAGCGAAAGCTCTGGGCCTAGGGCTAGCTCTCCAAAAAGCTGACCGCCTGACCCCTGGCTTTCCCACTCAGCCTGACATCCCACAGCTAAGAAGGGCCCGCTGGGCAGCCGGTGAAACAGCGTGTCTGGACTGTGGCTACCCTGGCCGTACTTTGCAAGGGGGGCAGTCCTCCGTTCAGGAGGAACTTCATCCCTCGCTGTCTGAAGCAGTCTCTGGTTGGGAGGGTGTCCTTCCTCAGAGGTTCCCTATAAACCTGGGCCATGTCCCCCCAAGGTTTAGCTGAGCCCAGGGCTGCTGCCAATGTCCCAGGTGTCTGGTCTTCCACTGGGGACACTTTCCTGAGCTGAGCACACTGGCCGCTGGTCTCTGGGTCTCTCCCAGGTACTCCCAGGGTAAGTGCCCCGGAAATCAGCACACCCTGCTGCACGGTTGGTTTCCTGCGGGGAAGGGGGCCTCCTTGCATGGGCCTTGGCTGCTCCAAGTAGACCTCTGCCCTCCCTCCATGTGGCTGGTGGCTGCCACCACTCCTTTCGAGGGCGGTGTTGCTGTCCTTGGGCAGGCTCTGTTGCCTCTGAAACTCTCCTGTGTCATTGTTTAGGCTCTCCTGTCCTTTACAGCCAGTGCCCACCCTGCAATGAGCCCTAGACAAGGTATCGGTTGACACTCCGCCCCAGGCATGTGGCATCACTGTGAGTTGGCAACCCAGGCACATGCCCAAACTTTCGACTCAATCCACTGAGCCACGCTAGCTGGGGCTCTTCCTGTTGATTGACACTCCCCTGCTCTAGGAAAGCAGGGACCACTTGGCTGAGTGCCTGCTCCACAGTCTCCCCACGGTGGCCCACAGGGTAAAAATGCCCCGTCCTGACCACAGGACGTGAGTAAAAATGCTCACACCTGACCACACCTGGGTTGGAGGCTTGGGTTCGGTTAGGGGGTGACTGGAGAAAACAGTTACACAACGGAAGTTGACGTGCTAATTTTATGGCCGGAGAGAAGGCAACAGCTCAGACATCTGTGGAGGGAGCGCCTGAGGCCCCAGGAGGTGCGAGGGGATCATCAGGCCGCGCCGTCCACCGGGTACTGCACCACTGCCTGGACCAAACAGCTGCGACCGGCACTCCAACCAGCAATGGGGTCTGTTATCCTCAGCCACGTGCTCTGAAACAGGAGACTCACGTGGCCATCTGTGGTCAGTGCGGGGCCATTTTTCCGCGTCTGAGGCCTCCAGCAGCAGCTTCAACACACTGAGGACTCACCTCGTTTCAATCTGACTGGCACAGAGTCACGGCTCTTCCTGATGCTGGGGGCCACCTGTGGTGATGAGGCTGCAGCTACCCGTGACACTGCCCAGGTGGCTGAACCAAATCAGGCTGTTCATTGTTTGCAAACAGCTTTAGGGATTAGAATTCTCATATCACACACTGCACCCACTTAAAGTAGACAATTCGCCATTTTATAGTGTATGTACCACAACCAAGCTCAGAACATTTCCATCCTCCAGAAGAAGCTGCCTACCCTTTAACAGTGCTCCACAGCCTGTCTGCAGCCCCCGGCGACCACGACCCCCTTTCTCTCCATGGAGCTATCTGTCCTGGACATTTCATACACACGGCATCATGCTCTCGGTGGCTTCCTTCACTCAGCATGTTTTCAAGGTACATCCACAAAGTAGCGTGTAGTATGCATGTATCAGTACGCTTAATTTCTCTCCACTACCAAACAATATTCCACTGTAAATTCTCACGTACCCATTATATGGATATCTCACATTGTGTTCATCCATTCATGAGTGATGGACAGTTTTTCCCCACTTTGGCTATCATGAATGGTGCTATGAACATTCATGAAAGACTTTAGTGTACACACGAGTTTCCAAAGTGCCTGCTTCCTTTGACATCCCCACTGGTGGCATACGGGTGCTCCAGTTTCTCCACTCCCTCACCAACCCTTCGTTAGCATTGTCTGTCTTTCCGAGTGCAGCCTTCCTGGTAGCTATGAAGTGGTATCTCACTGTGGTCCTGATTTTCGCTTGCCTGATGACGAAGGATGTTCAGCATCTTTTCCTGTGCTTATTAGCCACTTCTATGTCTTTATTAGGGAAACGTTTGTTCAATCCTTTGCCCATTTTTAATTGGTTTGTTCTTTATCATGGAGTTCAAAGTGTAATTTATATATTCCAGACACAAGAGCCTTATCAGATATATGATTTGCAGAAATTTTCTCTCAGTGTGTGGGTTGTCTTCACTTTCTTTTCTTTAAGTCTTGTCTTGTTGTATTTTTGTCCATTACCACTTATCACCCTTGGAGCCTCTCCCACCACGCACTGGCCTTCTCCCCGCACTCACGCTTCACCCTCCTCATTTTGTCCTTTGAAACACAGAAGTTTTTAACTTTGGTGAAGTCCAATTTATACATTTTTGCTTTGTCACGTGTGTTTGTCCCTACATTACTTCAGAGAGGACAGCAGCCATCCGACCTCAACACCAGCCCTGGGGTGTTGGAAAAAAACTTCCTTTACATCGGGCCACCTCCCTTTGGCTGCCTGTCCCACTAACACAGAGGCCCCTTTAGTAAGAGTTGTTGGTAACGGCTCTTTCTGCATGAAAATGTCTTTAGTCTGTCCTCAGCTTTGTCGTGAGTTTTGCTGAACATTAAATTCTGGTTTGAACTTCATTATTGCTTACTTAAGAATTTATCAGTTTTGCTTCCCGTCTGCAGGGGGCGTCTTTCATCTCCAGCCCCGCATTTGCAAAGCCTGGGCAAGAACACCAATAGGGGGGACTGATACTGCACGTCCAAACACTTTAAAGTTACAAATGACAATCATTTACATAAATAAAACTTTTCATCGTTAAAATTTAATAAAATCTTGTTTTCGTAAAAAACGAAACTATTCACAACCTAGTACTAATAGCTACCTAGTTGCCAATGTAAAGATTCAGTATTGTGCTTCATGCCTGTTCCACTTAGACCGATACACATTTCAGAGAGATATGATTGTTTACTGTTCCTCAGTCCCCTTGTGCCTCTGGGCCACGAGACATAAATGCAGAGGAGTAAAAAAAAAAAAAGAAAAAAGAAAGAAGAGGGGGGTTTCCACCGGCAGGGGAAGGGAAGGGAAATGCTGGGGCTGAGCTTTGGATCCTGAATACGGATCCCAGGGTCACAAGTTGTGTTCCGCCCGCGTGGAGCGCTGTTTGCATTTGTGGGCCCGACGGCCCGAGTGAGCTCCGAGTCTGCGCCTCCGGGAAACCGAGGTGCGGCCGGAGGTCGACACCTGGGAAGTGGGGGCCACGTGCCTGTCCCGCAGACACCCGGGAAAAAGATGGGGCCAGGGCCGAAGGCCGGGCGAGCGCCCACCACTGGTGAGGAGAGGAAAGGGGGCGATGCTGCCGGGCCCGGGGCGCGAAGCTGCGGGCCCGCGCGCGCGGGTTGCGTTCTCCTGGGGGCCCCGCGGGCCACGCCGGGGGTCCCGGACCCGGGCCCGCCCAAGTTGCCGAGGATCGCCCGCGGGCGCTCAGGCCCAGGCGCGGGCGGACGGGGGGCGTTCTCAGGTGGGAAGCAGCGCGGTCCTAGGAAGGTGGCGCTGGGTCCACGCGCGGACCGACCCTACGGTACGGCGGGGCTCGCTCGCTCAGAAGCCTCAGGACTACTTCCTGGCTCCGGAGTTCACCCAGCAGCCGGCCCAGTGGGGGTCCAACGTCACAGATGTCGCCTTCGGCCCCTTTAACCTTATCCCAAAGCGCAGCCCCTCCCTCGGCGCTCTCCCTCCGGCTCGGGGCCCCGCCCAGTTTCGCTACGTCTCTTCCGCTTCCCGGGCGCGATCTCGCGAGGCCTGCCTGCGAGGGGGGCGGGCCGTGCTGGACGCGGCGGGGTGGCTCCGCGGGCCGCGGGCGGGGCCAGTTGTCCCCGAGCGCCATGGCCGCCCTGCGCGTCCTGCTGTCCCGGGCCTGCGGCCCGCTGCTCCCCACGCTCAGTTGCGCGGCGCGGCGCCCCTTCGCCTCGGGTGAGTGCGGGTGGGGCCGCCGCAGCACCGCGCTCGCCGAGCCCTGGGGACTCGGTCGGGGCCGCGCGGCGCAGGTGGCGCCTCTGGAATTACAGGTGGTCGCCGTCCAGTCCTGCCCGCCCGCGCCCCTTCCCGCCCTCCTGCGGCGTCGCGGAGCCCTGCTCGGCTCTCTTCTCTCACTCCTGTGCCCAGTTCACGACCCAAGCACCAAGTCGTGTCGGTTTGACCCCAAGCTGTCTTTGACACCGCCCCCCCAGTCGGCACCCTGCAATCATGCGCGGGTCTTGTGACTGGCGCCCTGCCGCGGAACACTACCTGTTAGACCCGGTGCTCGCCAGCACGCCCTCGGGGCAGGCACTGTGATCCGTGTGTTCCCTGCCCCAGAAAGCAGCCACTCCGACAGGCAGGCGCTCGCCTCTCGTCCTCGCTGGCTGTTACTGCTCACCCGACATCCGATTGGGCGGTGCAAGCCACCTGCGCCTGTGTGTGCCCCCAGCAAGGCCAGAGCTCCGTTTTGTTCCCAGCTAATTCCCTTCTCCTCCTAGGCATTTGTTAAAAGAACGAATCCCGCTCATTTCTGCCGATTCACAGGCCACCTCTCTGCTGACGGAGGCGTTCAGAAGGAAGGCTGCTGTGGGCTGCTGTTCATTGCTGGGTGTTTTTTTTTTTCTTTTTAACTTAAGAAAATGTTCAAACATTGGTAGAAGCAGAGAGTGGTGCAAAGACCACCCGGATGGTGGAGAGCTGCCTGCTGCGGCCACCGTGGACTGGTCAGGGTCACTCTGTCCACTAACGGAGATACATCCCCTTAGTTTGGTGCCTAAACAAATAAGAAAACCTCCTTTTCTCTTCTTGCCCCAGGCGCTCGCTTTGAGTACATCATCACGGAAAAGAAGGGGAAGGACGGCAACGTGGGGTTGATCCAACTGAACCGCCCCAAAGCACTCAACGCGCTCTGCAATGGGCTGGTCAGGGAGCTCAACCAGGCGCTGGAGGCCTTCGAGGAGGACCCGGCCGTGGGGGCCATCGTCCTCACAGGCGGGGACAAGGCGTTTGCAGGTGTGGGGGGCCACGTGGTGGCAGGTCACCCAGGTCTGACCATGGTCACACCCACAGTGTGTGGTGTTGCGGACAGACTTACATGGGTGAGATAGTGTCAGAAAAACTCCTGCAGCTTGGGGTTTATGTGCACATGATGTGGGGAGGGCTGGGGAGCTGCTCGGAGGATGAGCTGCTCTGCCAGCACGGTTGGTCTGCTCAGAGCGGCCCAGGGCCTGCACAGTCAGGTGCTGCATGCTGAGGGCTCATGTGACCGCTGGAGAAGCCCAGCCTTCTCTGAGTTCACCTCGAGTCCATTTCTGGTCCCGTGGTCCCTCCGTAGCACCTCTGAGAACACATGTCACAGTGTATCTCCACGTGCGGGTGTCCTCCCGAGCCCCGGGGTCTGCTCACGGCAGACTCTCAGGAGCTGCTGTGGAGTCTCTGCGCTCTGGTGACGGGGCTCCTCTCCCCAGCTGGAGCTGACATCAAGGAGATGCAGAACCAAAGTTTCCAGGACTGCTACTCCAGCGGATTCCTGAGCCACTGGGACCGAGTCGCCCGGGTCAAGAAGCCGGTCATAGCTGCTGTCAACGGCTATGCGGTGAGTCGGCCGAGAACCCCCTCGCTCGGGGATCCTCGTGGAACCGCGCTTATGAGGGCGATATCCACTGGGCGTCACTTGGAAAAGGCCTAAGTCTAGTTCCCAGGCCAGCAGCCTCTCCCGCTCGACGCTGAGGAGCGGGGGGCTGTAAAGAGAGGAGGTGTCTCGGCATCCGCACTTGTCAGCGGACCCCTGCGATCACAGAGAGCACCGTGACTCCCTGGAACGCTCCTCCCCTCGCCTGCGTCGAGGGTGCACACGTTGGCTTTGTGCAGCTTTAATGACGTTCCATCCTGTGCCGCACCTTTCACCTTCTAGCTACTGCTGAAAGCTCTGTGTCCTCTGTGTGATGCTTTGGGGTGTCCTGCAGGTGCGCAGACCGCTCAGAGGTGCAGGGCTGGCTGTAGCCCGTAGAGAAGTCACATTTCAGTCTGTGACTACTTAATCAAGCTCCCTGGGGTAAGCCAGGGTCAACAAGTGAAGTTTATTGGGACGCCCACGCCCACTGGTTCACTGAAGCCCCACAGCAGGGACCTGAGGGCCCGAGAAGCCAAAGGGCTTGTTGTCCAGCCCTTTGTGCAAGGGCTGGGCGGCACTGGCCTGCAGTGGGTCGTTCACGGCAACGCTGAGCTAACCCTGCGTGGCGGTGTTGGTGCGTGCCGTGCCCCAGACTGTGTTTCACTGTAACAGGATACTTAAATAAGCAAGTACAGTGGTTTTATGGGGGTTCCCCGGGTGACGCCTCCTGTTCTGCAGCTTGGTGGCGGCTGTGAACTCGCTATGATGTGCGACATCATTTATGCTGGAGAGAAAGCCCAGTTTGGGCAGCCGGAAATCCTCCTAGGAACCATCCCAGGTAAAGGGGGGGACACCGCCGTCATAGGCTCTTCAGGTCACTCCCCAGAGTGTGCGCACCTCGTAGGGGCAGAGGGCTTTTCTGTGTGACGAGGGGCTGGGGGTCGTGTTGGCACTGGACGGGCAGTGCTCCCTCTGCCCCCAGGACACTTGGTGTGAGTGGTCACCACACTCTCCCAGATGGCCAGGGAGGTCACGGACCAGATCCCATGTCACCTGCTGGTAGGATGGGCTGACCACACACTGGCTTAGGGTCCATGTAGGTTACAAGCTTGGAACAGGGTGACCAAGGGCCAGCCCCGAGAGCTTGTGCCCGGAGGTGACACATGTCACATCTGCTCATGTTACAGTGACCAGAGCAAGTTTATGGCCTCACCCAAGTTCAGCAGCACAGGAAATCAGACCCCCACACACAGAGGTCAGCAGGAGCAGTGGGCCAGCGTGTGACCTCTGCCCCTGGGGCCCGCCTGACCAGGGTTCCGGGCTCATGTCCCATGAGGTCTCTGTGCTGCGTGTGAGCCTGGAGCCCAGGGCGTCTCCCGAGCCAGCCGGGGTGGGCAGGGCAGCGTGTCCCGTTGGCTGCGGGCGAGGGCAGCCACCACGAGCTGCACTGACCACTGGGCTCTTCCAGTCCCAGTGCCCAGGTGTCCACGTCAGCAAGGCAGCGCCTGAGCCTGCTGCACTGTGGGTGTCTCCCTCAGCGGTCCTCTCGTGCCTGGGGTTCACCGTGGGGCAGGTGGCTGGGCAGACTGCTCCCCTTCGAGCTGGGGGGTGGGTATGTGGGCACATGGCAGGGAGCATCATGGGCTGGCACCGGCGGACCGCCGGACAGAAGGACACATTTGGAGTGTTGCTGGAGGCGACGCTCTCCGAGCATCTGCCTGCATCCTGACTCCCGCGTGAGAGGCTCTGACGCAGGGGACTGAGGTGCCGGGTGCGGGGACTGAGCAAGGGGTGCTTCTTGGGTCTCCCGCCTCCCCAGCTGCTGGCCGCCTCACCCCACCTGAGAGGCCTGTCATTGGCCCCTCGTCACTGGCCGCAAGCCTGTGACCCGCAGCCTCCGCCCTGCAGGTGCAGGGGGCACCCAGAGGCTGACCCGCGCTGTCGGAAAGTCTCTGGCCATGGAGATGGTCCTCACTGGAGACCGGATCTCAGCCCAGGACGCCAAGGAAGCAGGTGTGTCTGGGGGTGCCCCATGGAGCCCCTCTGGGGAAGGGGAGTGGGGAGAGTCGCCTCCAGGGCTCCTGCCTCCAGGGCTCCTGCAGACGGTCAGCACAGTGCTTTCGGGGGTCCTGACAATCCGGGGGACCGCCGCCTTTGTTGACATCCCACGTGTGAAAAGAGTAGCTGAAACATACACTCAGGTTACAAAATGACATTAAACCATGTCGTATCCCAAAGCTCAGCGTACACAGCGGGGACTGGATTCCCTGAGACCCCGCAGGCCCACTCTGTCCCCGCTGCTCGGTGACCTGCCTGTCAGAGTCCAGTGACCCCAGCATACAGCCGAGAGCATCGCCCCACTTTGGGGACGGGCGGAACCTCCCCTGTGTTGCTGCAGCCCCTTGCTAACACCGAGAGTCCCCCGCTCTCGGAGTGTCACCGTCACTCAGAGGGAAATGTAACCAGTGCTGTGCCCTTGTCCACCGTGTCACGCTCAGGTCTCGTGAGCAAAGTCTTTCCTGTGGAGAAACTGGTCGAAGAAGCCATCCGCTGCGCAGAAAAAATCGCCGGCAATTCCAAAATCATATCGGCGATGGCCAAAGAGTCCGTGAATGCAGGTAGGGCTGTGCCAGGGGCACAGAGGGGCCGCCAGGACCTGTGGGCTCCGTGGCCCGTCCCGGACAAAAACTGCTGTGGCTCTTTGAGGAGCTCTGGTTTCTAGCTGCTCGCTCGCAAATTCTGTCGAAATGTTCTGAGCTCCCACTGGTGCTGGGGCCGAGCATGTGTCACCCTGAGGGACAGGCGGGGACAGGTGCTGGTGCGCAGGGACAAGGCCCAGGCGGGCTCTGACCGGACACAGGTCGGCTCCGGAGAAGCCGAGGGCCCCTCGGAGCCGGGGTGCAGAGGCTCCTCCTCAGCTGGCCGGGGGCTGTGAGAATGGCCAGCGGGGTGGCCCAAGGGGCGCGGGCCCCCCGGACCCCAGGGGGGCCAGGACAGGGGCCTGGCCCTCGCCTCCGCCCTGCCCTCCGTTCTCTCTGCTGGCGCAGCAGCTCCGTCAGAGTTCACAGAGCTTCCACGTGGCCGTGTCTCTCAGCGTTGGGGCAAGACTGTCCATTTGCTCGGTGTGGCCTGTTGGGAGGACAGGAGCCTGGGGCAGACGTGTGCCCTCGAGCCTGTCCGTCCGCAGGAAAGCAGCCGCCTCGGGGTTCTGCCGGCCGGGGTGCGGTGACCTGGTGCTTGCGGGGCGTCAGACCGGCACGCACGCAAGAGGAGGTGCTGCTGCTGGGTGTTGGTGAGGCCTGGTCACCGCACCTGCTCTCCCTCCCGGAAGACACGTGGCCCCCGGTGCTGCCAGAAAGAGATGGCCCAGGCCAGGGCCACCGCACTTCTGCTGCTTTTCATCCTTCATCACTGTTACTTTTTTAAAGGTGGTTTTCAGAGAGAGGGGAAGGGGGGGAGAAAGAGAGGGGGAGAAACATCAATGTGTGGTTGCCTCTCACCTGCCCTCTGCTGGCGACCTGGCCCACAACCCAGGCAGGTGCCCTGACTGGGAGTCGAACTGGAAACCTTTCGGTTCACAGGCCAGCATTCAATTCACTGAGCCATGCCAGCCAGGGCCATTATTGTTTTTAATACTGTTAAAATACAGTTTCACGGGCTGCCTCAGACGCTCTGTGATTGGACAGTTTGCATTCCTCCTTTCCCGCACTCTCTCACCCCTCCCTCTGGGAGGGGACTGAGCTGGGGGCCGGCCGCGTCAGGGTACGTGTGTGGGGCTGTGAGACTGTGTCCCGTCCGTCCCCGCAGGAGAGGGCTCCTCCCAGCTGTGGCCTCTCAGTTCCTGACGTCAGGTCTCTGTTTCAGCTTTTGAAATGACACTGACAGAGGGAAATAAGTTGGAGAAGAAACTCTTCTATTCGACCTTCGCCACCGTGAGTGAACACGTGCACGCGAAAGGTCCCCCGTGGTGCAGCCACGGGGCTTCCTGGTCGGCCTCACCGGCAGACCCCACTCCCCTTGGGCAGAGCTGCTGGCGCCCTTGGCTGGGTCAGCGGTCCGTCAGGGAGTGGAGGTCAGGAGGACGGGCGGAGCAGGGCCGTTTCCTGGCAGGAGAGGCCTTCCGAGGTGGCCCTCAGACGCGGTCCACTTAGCCCTCATTTCCTGTCACGCCAGTCACTTGGAACAGGGTTTAGAGCAGTGCCGTCTAGGCTCTCGGCCAGTGACTGAAGGGGTGTCATTCTCCTGATAGTCATTTGAAAGAAGGTGACACTAGGTGTTTTGGAAGACAAAGATAAAAAGCGGCTCTAGCTCTCGAGGAAGCGAAGACGTGTGTGCATGCATGTGCACACACGTGAGCACACAGGGAAGGAGGCAGAGGTGGAGTCTGGACCCCTGCCTCGTGAGGCCCCAGGTACTGCTGAGTCAGGTGACCCTTCAGCGAACGACCCAGTGCGTGCACCTGAGGGTCTGTGGGCGGGAGAGTGTTGGACACACCCGTCCCCGGGCCAGCCCCGCTCCAGCAGGAAACCAGGCCCTTGCCAGGGGTCCAGGTGGTCCCACCGCAGAGCCCCCCCACCCCCCCACACCTGACCCACGGGACGTGTGACGTGCAGCTGTCCAGCTCTGCTGTGTTCCCTTTCTCACCAGGAAGACCGGAGGGAAGGGATGACGGCATTTGTGGAGAAGAGAAAGGCGAACTTCAAAGACCGGTGAGAGCTGCCACCGAGACCTCCAGCCTCCGCGGAGGAGGGGACACAGTTTCAGGGGCCAATAAACCCTCTGTCTGGAAGGGCAGTGCAGGTGCCGTGCACTTCTTCCTCGGCCGCGGGGCGGCGGCCGGCACAGCCACCACGTTCCCACCTGCGCCGCCTCTTCTCCATCAGAAAGGGTGCTCGCGACCCCGCAGCGTGTTGATGCTTTTACTAGATTCCAGGAGCTGAGGGACGTGTCAGGGCCACCGTCCCTCCGGGCAGCATGTCCCCGGCTGGGCCGCGTGTGGTTGGGAGCCAGGGAAAGTGGTTCGGGGAAGGCTGGGCGGGTGGCCCTTCAGAGAGACATGCCGATCACTAAATGACAGGCCTCAAGTCACATCACGCCTCCCCGCTGATGCGCTGGAGCCGGATGTTCTGTCACTTCTTCCAGCTTCTGTTTTGTCGTCATAGGTGACGGCATCCACGCAGGACGGAGGTCCTTAAAGTCAGCCACCCCCGGCACACCCAGGGAAACCACTGTCAACAGGCATGTGGCTTTTGGAGACATTTCTGTACTCACACATGTCCACATGTCCACACACGCTCACACACATGTACACAGGTGTGTAGAGTCCAGTTTTCTTTCTACAGAAATGGGGTTCCATGTTTACCCCTCTGCAAGCACACTGGCATCTTCCTCAGTCTGTCACACTGCGTGCCTGCCTCTCCTGTTCGACCAGAACTTTTTTTATCGTGGTAAAACACGTGTACCATAAAACCGACCTTTGACCCATTTTTAAATGTCCGCTTCAGCGGCACTAACGTGTCCACAGAGTGCTGTGGCCGTCACCACGTCCACTTCCCAACTGCTTCGTGCCCCAAGCAAGCTGCGTCCCCACCAGCCCCGGCTCCCACCCCCACCAGCCCCGGCTCCCACACCCGCACCAGCCCGAGCACCCTCTGCGCTGCTTTCTCCCAGCCTCTGGGAATTCAGTGCGATGTTTTCGGGGCTGTAACATGTGATAGTTTCGCTTCACCACCAAACAGTGTTCCTATGGCATTCCTCTAAGTGGCCCTGAAATGCCATATGGTATCAGTCCCTTGCCGTTCACGTTATCCCGGGTGTTGCGTGTTTGCACCGCACGCGGTTCCTGGTTACCAGCACGGTGGGGGACAGCTCTGCGGTGACAGTGGTGTGCAGGCAGGAGAGTGGGGCGTGTCTGAGGCCGAGAAGGGAGCCTGCGCCCGCGGGACTCAGGCAGGAGGCAGCAGAGCCCCTTCTCAGAGCTGCACCAGCTGCATCTCCGAGGTGGATGTCCCGGCGGCCCGAGTCCAGGGCCCCGGCCTGGGTCCCAGCTGCACGGAGGCCCTGGGATCCCGCAGCCTGTGTGCGAAGGAGGTGCTGGAGCAGAACTGAGCCTGGTGGCGGTCCCACCGTGTGCTATTTGTGGTGGGACACGGAGTTTACACACCAAGGTCCCCTGGTGGCACAGGACACTGGGTGACCGAGTGACCCTCGTTGTAGGAAAGCCCCTCTGCCCCCACTGGACGCCTGCCTTTGATTCCCGCATCCCAGCGCAGCTCAGCGCTCTGGACCCTCTGTCCTACCCCAGGCTCCCCAGTGAACTTCCAAGGGTGGGGGTCACGCCATGCTGGGGTTGCTGGGACGAGTCCCACGTCCTGCCACTGGGGAGGGCTTCACAGGTGAAGGGGCAGCTACTGCCCGGGTCAGTCCCCAAGTCTCAGCACGTCCTCGGACCCTCCAAGGTGAGGCACCCGGGAGCCCTGCAGGCTTCCCGCACTGGCGCACATAACAGAGCAGCTTCCCCGATGGGCCCCGGCAAGGCCCTGCTGGCTGCCACGTGCCCTCCAGTCCCACCCCTCAGACTTGCTCTGTGGAGACGGCCCCACCTGTCAAGGCAAGAGTGGGAGCCACTTCCAGAGCCAGGGTGGATCTCCGCAAAAGCAAGGGCTCCCCAGTGGGACGTGCGCCCAGCCTGTCCCTGGAGCTGAGCCTCAAATCCCTCCCCAGGAGCCCACTGTCCCTGCAGCCAGGTGGAGCCCGAGAGCACCTGTCCAGGCATTTCCTCCGCCCTTCCTGAAGCTAGGTGGGCAGGGAGTCCAGAGGCCTGGCGCTCTGCACGGCGGTGGACGTGGGAATGCTTACGGAAGCTGTTATCACAAACCCCAGACGGGCCTGTCAGGGACACAAACCGGAGTATCTTGCACTCCTTGGGCTAGTTGACTGCAGGCCCGTGTTGTTCCGGGGGCTTGGTTTTCGAAGCTGAAACCTTCCCTTCTCATCTATATAAAACCAGCTACCGGCCCTGGCTGGCATAGCTCAGTGGGTTGAGCACAAGCCTGTGAACCAAAGGGTGACAGGTTCGATTCCCAGTCAGGGCACATGCCTGGGTTGTGGGCCAGGTCCCCACTAAGGGGCACATGAAAGGCAACCACACATTGATGTTTCTCTCCCTCTCTTTCTCCTTCCATTCCCCTCTCTCTATAAATAAATAAATGAATGAATGAATAAATAAATAAAAAACGGCTTCCCCCTCCCATGTTCATGCTTAAAAGATGAAACTTTGGGGAAGTTAATTGCAAGTCTCTCCACTCACATCCTGGAGTAGAAACTGCTCAGGCACAACCCTCAGCCAGGGTAGATTCAGCTGCTTTGGACGGCCCGGGTGCTGGACCCACCAACCAGGTTCCCCAAGGCCGTTCCCAAGTCCACTCTGCCCGGCACGGTGGGGCCAGGGCTGCGTGTTCAGGGCAGACTGGGTGCCAGGCTGGGTTTCCAACGTGGCTCCTCCACCAGCTGAGGCTCCCAGGGCCCAGCTGGAAAACGTGGAGACGTCTTTGCTTTCTCCAGGTTTTCCAGTGTGGCTTTGTCATCTTCCATGTGCAGGACTTTCCAGGAGCTGTCGGGCCTCAGAGTGTATCATGTCACCACAGGCCGAGGGCCCTGGCCACAGCACTGGTCACAAAGTCGATGGTGTCACTCCGGGGGTGACAGCCCAGCCTGGGCAGTCCCATCTGGGCCCTGGGTCGGGCTGTCTCCTGTCCTCCTGCTGGGCAGGCAGCAGTGCACACTCAGGTGGCAGCTGGGCAGGTGAGCAGGGCCACCTGCAGAGTGACACTTGCGTAGCCCTAGCTTGAAGGGTGGGGAGTGAGGGAGAGCCTGTCCACAGCCTGGGCAGTGAGCTTGGGGTGGGCTTTTCAGCAACGGTATGACCAGGCCAGCACACCTCTGGGCACTGGCCCTGGCGTCTGCCCCCAGCCTGAGTTGGGGGCGGGGGAAGCTGGGAGAGAGCGGAGACAGGGCTGCAGGCCAAGGGCAGTGTCCACAGAGCACGGGAGCCACCTGCACTGGTCAGATGTTGCTGCGTAAGAAATGATCCCTAGATTCAGGGCTTCACACAGCCACTGTCAGTCACTCTTTTGGACACTCTGTGTGGGTCAGGACTCCAGACAGGCCACGGTGGGTCTCAGTGGACGCTCCTGACTGCCCCCCACCCACCAGGCATCTGGTGGCTGGCGCTGGAGAGAGCCCCGTCCAGGTGCTCCCAGCTCCCAGCCGAGCGCAGGGCCTGCCAGCCTTCTGGGTCCCCTCCAGGCGGGCAGGGGTGAGCCCACCATCTGGTCTCCCACCCCAGGACACAGGGATCCGGCGGGCTAGGGGCGTAATGCTGGGTGGGGAGCCCTGACCAGAAGCACAGTGGGTGTGGAGGTCTTGAACCTGGTGAAGGACAAAGGCACTGAAAGACGCCTTCAGGGCTGGACCCAGCGTTGCCCCACCTCCCCAACCACAGCCTAGCCCCGCCCACCCTCCCACAAACCCCACCCACTACCCACAGGCCCCGCCCCTTAGCACGCATGGTGGTGGTGAAGAGCGCCCCTCGCTGCTGTCCCCAGAGCTGCTTTATGCCCTGGCATGCGTGGGGCACGGAGACAAGACTGGTGAGCCGGCGGGGGTCGGAGGGCAGGGGACAGGCCCTCAGGAACCCCCGCCCTCAGGGCAGAAGTCGGGAGAGGAGTGCCGTGGGGGCTCCTGGCCCAGACTGTGCCCGGCGGGGCGAGGAAGGGGGGTAGCTCATAGCGACGACCCCAGGAATAAAAACTAAAGTGACAGGTGCTGACAAGGGTGCGGAAAAACAAGCTCATACACTGCTGGTGGGAATGCACCTGGTGCAGCCACTTTGGGGGCAAGTTTAGTATTTTCTTAAAGAGTGAAATGGGAGCTACTGCCCCACCTCGCCTCTCCACTCCGAGGCCTCTACCCCGGCCACCGGAAAGGCCCTGTCCGCACAGGGCAGCGCCGGCGGACTGAACCAGCCGCGGTGCCCAGGCCTGCGTGGGTGGGCGGATGGATAAAGGGGCGCCGCTGAATGCCCGGTGCCATTCGACAGCGAAAGGGAGCGCTGCCACAGCCGCGGCCATCGCTGCCCTCCAGCGGTGGGAGCGGGGGGCAGGCTGCCCTGACACCAGACATCTGCTGGGTGCCTTCTCTGCCGCGCTGAGCAGGTGCTGGGGCACCTCAGTGACCGGGAGTGACAGGCTTGCCCAAGGGAAGGGGACAGCCGAGGAGCTTTAGATACTGAACCGTGAGAAGGAGGCCCCTTCTGAGCGGGAGGGGGCCAAACCCAGCGGTACCCCAACCCAGCTGACCAAGGGAGGCCAGGGACAAAGTCTGGGGCCTGGCCAGCCTGAGAGCAGAGAGATGCCGAGGCAGAGGGGCGGCCAGGGCTCAGCTGGCCAGGGCATCTGTGCCCTGCAGCGCGGTGTGTGCGCGCGCACGCGCGGACACATCTGAGTGGGTGTGAGGCTGCGAGGCCCGGTGTAGCTCCGGTGCGGGGCAAGCGCCGGGCGCCCCTCCCCCAGCCTCCGTCTCCCCAGCAACAGTAGCCTCGGTCTGGGGCTCAGCCCCTCCCCCGCCCCGCCCCAGCTGCGGCTGCGAAGCGTCTGGAACCGCATCCCTGCCGGGAGACCGCATCCCGCCGCAGCAGCCCGTCGGAGCCACCCGTGAGCCATCTCCACACTTCTCCCTGTGGAGCGAAGAGGGGGCGGGGGGCGTGCGCAGGTGACCAGGTGCGTGTGCAGGGGTAGCGGTGTGGGGGTGGGGGGCACCGCGGCGGACCCGTTAGCGGGCAGGCCGAGCCCGGGGGGTCCTTGCGCAGGGGCGCCGCTGATCTGAGCTGGACCGTGGTCCCCGGGCCTCCCTCACGACTGGGACCCCACGGGGCGAGCTGCCGTGTGGACCTGCCAGAAGGGCCGAGGTGTCTAGCCGCGCACACGTCCCCCGTCTTCAGCAGAGTGGGGAAGCTCGGGTGGGTTAGGGCTGCTGGACACCCTCCCCCTTGCTCCGTGGTGACTGCAGCCCCTCCCTGGGAGCCGGCCCCACCCCTGCAGATGGGAGAGAGCCCGCGGGAGCTGGGAGTCCGGAGATGGGGAGGGGGCGCCAGTTCCAGGACCCCGGCTCTGGGTGGGGGGGTGAGGTGAGGAGAGAAGGGGTTTGGCAGAGAACGTGCCGCAGCACCGAGAAACGCTGGGGGCATGGGAGCGGGGCGGGGGCGGGGGGTGCTGTGTGGCGGCTGGAGGCAGCCTGGGGCAGGGAGGGGCGTTTCTCAGAACCACCTGCCGCTCGCAGCCAGGCGTTGGATGCGGGGCCACAGGTGGCTGGTGCGTGGGAATCCAAAGCCATTTGAAGACCTGGGCCTCCCCTACCCGCCCCCCTCTTCTGGGCCTCTGAGGGCTGGGCTGCTAGCCTGCAGTCCACCTGTCCCTGAAGTAGGAGCCAAACGCACTCCGGGCCTGTCGGGCGAGGGGCGGGAGGGCACCAGGGTGGGGGCTGGGAGATCCGCTGGGTTTCAGCCAAGCCAGCCCGCCCCCTGCGCTCTGCAGTCACACGCACGCCTGTGCGCGCTAGTGCCCGTGCGCGCTAGTGCCGGAGCGCGCACCTCTCCTGACGCAGCATCCCGAGTGGGGGGCGGTGCGAGAGTCTTTGACGTGACCTGCAGCCGAGCTTCGTGGGCTTTCACCTAAGGGTCCGTATCCATCCATCCATCCATCCATCCATCCATCCATCCATCCGCACCGACTTGCCGCTCTTCCTGTGCCCCCTTCCCAAACCTCGGAGAAGAGGCCTGCACCTCCCCTCGCCGCAGGAGCCATCAGCAGGTGCGGAGCGGGTGACCCGCTGGAGAAGACACAATTACAGCGCGGTGGTGGTGCGGCGGAAAGGGGCCGGCGGGAGGAGTAGGGACGACCCCTCCCCCTTTCTATGGCGTTCTGTCTGTCACGTGAATGAGCTCCGCCAGCCTTCCCAGTGGGTCCCGTGACTCAGCAAAGGAAAGACATGTTGGGGGGGTCTCCCACATGCGGCCTAGCCCCTCTCCCAGCATTCTGCCCGGGGCATGGGGTCTGCAACCAGATTCGGAGGGTCCAGAGGGCCCCCAACAGCCACTTTTCTTTATGGAGAAGAGTCATCGCTGGCCCGTCTCCGTTGCCATGGAAACCCACCACGATGTAAAGTGGCTGTCATGCTGCGTCAGAGGAGTCGGACCTTACGTTTGGCTCAAAGGGGACCGAGCCTTACGGGGATGAGGGGAGACCCCCCTTCCAGTTCATGGCCGGAACCCACCGTTCTGTAAACCACAGCCCGCGTGTTTGAACCACGGGGACGTCAGCTTCGTGAAGACCGCCCAGGGGAAGGGGGATGGAGCCCCCCCAACCTCCCCTCAATCTCTGGGCACTTGCTGACCCCCACATTTCACCGCCCCTTCTCCTGCATGTCGGTCCTCATCCCTGGCCCCTTTTAGGCGGGACCTCTCTTTCCTTCCTCGCACCGGAGGGCCCGACCTCTGTTTCTATTCTGATGGCCTCCGTGACCACCTCTGCCTCACTGAACACGGATATCGGCCGCACGGCCTCTGCCAAATGCCTGCCTGCCGGCCGGCCAGCCTGGGCCAGGGGCCGAGGCGCCTGAGCCCTTCTAGGCGGAGCCCTGGCCAGACCCCGCCCACCTCGGGAGAGCCCCGCCCCCAGCCTGGGGGCGGGACTAGGGGGCGCTGTGCCGGTCTGTGGCCTGTAAGGGCCCCAGGCCGGGCGTGCAGGGTCCCGACTCAGGGCCCTAGGAGAACCTTCCTCCTCGAGCCCCCCTCTCTGCATTGCAGTGGTGGCCCTGTGCGATGTCCCTCTCTGCCCCTCACCCTGCAGAGCCCTGACCTCCCTGCCCTGCGCCTCTCCTGGGCGATCCTCCTCTGTTCCCATCCGTCTGGCCCACCCCCGGAACTGCTTCGGGGAGAGAAAGAGGCCACCTGAGGGCCTGGTGGCTGCAGGTGTTGGTAGGGCTGCCACAGGGAGAGCGTTTGTGGAAGGTGAGGTCGCCCTAGGACAGGACTTTGGGGGTGGAGAGGCACAGCAGCCTGCAGGGGTGCAGACAGGGGCAAAGGAGGCCCCTGTTCAGAGGCCACTGGCTTCCTTGGGCCACAGTAACAAATGGCCACGACTGGGTGGCTCAAAACAACAGACATTTATCCTTTCAGGGATCTGGAGGCCAGAAGTTGGACGTCAAGGTGTCGGCAGAGCCGTGCTGTCCTGGGGGCTCCTTCCTGCCCCTCCCGGCCTCTGGGGGCCGGTGTCCCTGGGCCTGTGGCTGCGTGCCTCCATCTGTGCCCCGTCTCCGAGTGGCTGCCACCCTGTGCGCCTGCGGCCAAGCTCCCCCTCCTTGTGGGGACTCCGTCATGGGAGCGGGGCCCCTGTAATCCAGGGCGACCTCGACTTGAGCGCATCGTATTTCCGAGTAGGGCCACACGCACAGGTGCCGGGGGTCAGGATGCAGGCAGGGCTTGTCGAACCCTCAGCAGCCCTTGGTCCCTCTCAGGTTGTAAACACCGTCCTGTTCTCTGTTCCTGCTCTTTGAAGGCTGTGTTCTGATGTGCAGGAGTTCATAGTTTTAATGCAGTCCCTTTATCAGTATTTCCTTTATGGTTAATGCGTCATTATGGTATGGAAGAACTCATTCTCTCCATGAGACCCGAGAAATATTCTATATCACCTTCAAGACACTTCACCCACTCGGGGTGACTTACCGAGAACAGGTTTTCCCCTGTTCTGGGTGCGGTGGGAGGTGGGGATCGGGCCCAGTGTTGCCACCTGGGCATGCGTTTACCAACAGGTGGCCGTCCCCCTTGCTGTGCAGCCTCATCTCTGTCATGGGCCCACGGGCCGCGTGTGTAGGGTGTCACCTGGGTCTTTGTCTGCCTCGTCACCACACGGCTTAATCCCCCTGCTGCGAGGCGAGCTGGGCGCCTGGCATGAGACCCCCGTGTCTTTCTCAAGCTGTCAGGGGTGACCCTCCTCTGACTTCCGCCAGCGATGACAGCAGTGCTTGTCGAGGTCACACCAAAAAGGCCTGCTGGGGTTTTGACTGGGATTTTTGAGTCTGCAGATACATCTTAAGGGGACTTGAGATTTTAAAACATGAAACCTTCCAAGAGCCATGACCACGCCTTCCCCACTTACTTAAGGAATCCGGGTCTCGTGTGCTCTCGGTCAGTAATGTTCCGAGCGAGTTTTCCATGGCTTTCTACGTGGAGGGACTTCTCGTCTCTCACCAGACCTGCTCCTGAGCTTTGGCTATTCAGATACTGTTTAAACAAAATCCCCCCAAAAAAAAATTCTAATTTTTTGTCACTGATATAAATAGAACTGATTTCTGAATACCTTAAATCCATCAATGCACTGAACTTACTTCTCAATCTTCAGAATTTACCTGTAGATTCTCTCGGATGTCCTACCTGCAGGAGGTGTTTTACCTGTGAATGATGTGCATGTGACCTCCTCTCGTCCAGGCCTCTCCTCTTCCTTCTTTTCCCCGCCCCTCGGCATAGCTAAGGCCTCCGGCACCACAGTCTGCAAAACTCATAGTAAAGGCCCCTTCTGTCTCCATCCTGATCTTAAAGGCAAAGCTCTTACTTGTGAGGGTTGGTGCGGGGACTTCTGTGGGTGACCTTTCCTGCCTGCTGTGCTGATAGGTTTTGACACAGTAAACAGCCCTGGCTGGGGTGGCTCAGAGGACTGAGTGCCAGCCTGTGGACCGAAAGGTCACTGGTTTGACTCCCATTCAGGGCACAGGCCTGGGTTGCCGGCCAGGCCATTTCTCTCCTCTTTCTCCCTCCTTTCCCCTCTCTCTAAAAAACAAATGAACAAAACCAGTAAACAAAAGCTGAACCTTATCAAATACTTTTTCAACTACGACTGATGAAATTGATAAGATGATTTGTCTTTTTTATTCTGTCCACATGGTGAAAAATAGTAATAGTTTCTCAGATATTAAACTAAATGCCATTTCCAGAATAATCCCCACCTTTTCGGTCACAATACCTGTATCTTGCTGGGTTCTGTTCGCTCGCGTGTCCTCTGGGGCCTTTGCACGGATCTTCGTGGGGGGGCTGTAGCCAGGGTCTGAGAGCCATGTGATCCCAGCCTCAGGAGCTGTTCCTTCGTTCTCTTCTCTGGAAGAGTTTTGTGTGGAATTCGCGTTATTTCCTCCTGACGTGATTGGCACCTGTCAGTGGGGACGCCATCTGGGCCTGGCGTTCTTTGTCGGAAGGTTTTCAGCACCGAGTTGAGTTCTTAGTGGACATAGGATGTCCCTTTTTTCTTGTGATTGACTGAGTATAGTTTACTCTTCTACTTGTTCAGTGTGGAGGTCATTTGCTGTGTTTCCCTGAAAGTGGAATTGCCATGCCCACCCCCCCCCCCAAGTCTCAGGGGCTTTTGCCCTCCTCCAGGCCCTGCAAACCCCTCCGCCTCCCCGACCCACCTCCTGCCTCTCCGCTCCTGTCAGGGTCTCCAGCCTGTGTGCACCACTGCTACTGCCTCTGTCGGCGAGCCTCGGGTTTACTCACGAGGTCCTCTTCTGTGACTCGTGTTCCTTCCTGCATCTCCAGGAGGGTTGCCAGATAGAACACAGGACGCCCAGTTAAATTTGGATTTCAAGTAGATATGAGTAACTTTTTATTTTTTAAAAAGATTTCATTTATTAATTTCTAGAGAGAGGGGAAGGGAGGGAGAAAGAGAGAGAGAAAGATCGATGTGTGTGGTTGCCTCTTGCACGCCCCCTACTGGGGACCTGGCCCACAACCCAGGCGTGTGCCCTGACCGGGAATCAAACCAGGGACCCTTTGGTTCCAGGCACACACTCAATCCACTGAGCCACACCAGCCAGGGCGACAACAAATAACTTTAGAAACAGTGTGTCCTACACTGCAAGTCTCGTGGCGTGTGCTTACGCTAGCAAGCGGCAGCAGCACCCTTCTCATCTGCGATTCAGGTCTGTCTGGGTGTGCTGTGTTTGTATTTGCCAAGTCTGGCGGCCGCACCCTCGGGCTCCCGTCGGGGATTGTTTTCTGTTGACTGGACCCGCCGCCCCTAGAAGGTCCTGTGGCAGGCTGGCTGGTGGGAAACGCTGTCACTGTGGTGTGGCTGGTCTGGGCAGTGGCCAGTCCCAGGTGCCATGCCCTGCACGGCTCTGTGACCCGCAGGGAGCCCAGGAACCAGGAAGGGACCAGGAGCCTGCGGCTGGGCCCGCCTGGCTTGTCCTAGGGAGTCTGGCCTGACCCCTCACAGCCCGTCCCCGCTCTGGTGTGAGGTGCATTGGGGCCAGCCCTCCCTGGACCCTCTCTGTCCGGGGGCAGCAGGCGTGGACATCTGCTAGGTGGCCTTGGGCAGCGACCCTGTGTCTGCTTCTGGACAGGACAAGGACCACCTCCCACCATGGTGAAGCTGGGCTGGAGCTTCTCCGGCAAGCTGGGCAAAGACCTTGGGGCCCAGGACGGGGCTGCCATGGACAGTGTCCCTCTGATCAGCCCCCTGGACGTCAGCCAGCTCCAGCCGTCGTTCCCTGACCAGGTAGGGTTTGGGGCCAGTCCGGGATCCTTCCCAGCCTGCAGGGGGACAAAGGGGTGGGGAGTGTGGTTTATTTAGAAGTGGCCCCTCCAAGTGCCAGACAGCTGGGCGGAAACCCCAGGGCCACATGCAGTCTGCTCCCTCGTCACCCAGGGCCTCCCCTTTGCTCGTCTGTGAATGGGGTGACCTGGCCACAGGTGACTGGGAGTTCGCTCACTACCTGGAAGACAGTGCCTAGTGCATGGCACTGCCCGGCAGGGGCTCAGGAGACAAAATTCCCACCCTCCCCTTCTGGGCACACTGTGTCTTGATTCAAGCCCGAGACAGGGTCCTGGGGCAAGTGGCGGGGGGAGGGGAGCTTTCAGCAGGAACCCTGGGGAGCAGAGCTCAGCACAGCCCCCGCCCGGCCCCACATGAGCTCCGGAAGATGTTCCTAGCTGCGGGGTCAGGGGGTGGCCATCTGCACCCAGGTGTGCCAGCTGTGGTCTTGGGACCATGAGGACAGGCCCCCGATCCCCAGGCACTGGCTGAGGGCAGCTCTCCGGCAACCTGGGCTTCCGCTGCATCTACAACAGTTGCGGCCCTGGGTCCCAGTGGGAAAGCTCTGCCCTGTCCCCAGGGAGCCCACAGAGCACCTGCCTCTGCCCCCTGTGGAAGGGCCCTCCAGACTCTGGGAGCCAGAAGAGAAGTCAGGGGCGACTTCCTGGAGGAGGGAGCCACACTGTGGGGCCGCAGAAGGGGAAGCTCCCGGCGGGGAGAGCTGGCACCCTCAGAGCTGACGGCAGCCCAAAGATGAAGGGGCCCCACCCGTGGCCCGGCCTGGCACCGTGGCTGCCATGGCTCCAGCAGACTTGCAGCGTCCCCTTCCCTTGGCCTCGGCCACAGGGGCCTGGCCGTGGGACAGTCCAGGCAGCTGAGCCCCGGCCTCCGCCCTCCCCAGCCCTCCCAACGCAGTGCGCCCCGGGTCATCTCTTTGCACAGGTGGTCATCAAGACCCAGACAGAGTACGGACTGCCCTCCACAGGCCAGCTGAAGAAGTTCCCGGACCTGGAGGCCCAGAAGTTGGCTGGCACCAACTCAGAGGAAAGACACGGGGTAACCAAACCCCCCTCCCAGTGCCCAGTGCTGCCCGGGCCAGTCCCTTGGGGAGTGAGATCAGGGCCAAGGTGCCAAGGCAGCCATGGGCCGTGAGCACCCAGGGCTGGGGCCCTCACTCAGGCGCCCGCTGCCAGAGAAGTTGGACGAGGACTCAGCCATTCAGAGGCACGGTGGGGTGGGGACCAGGGACCGGTGCTCGGGGGTGGGGGTGCTGAGGGACGGGGCGGGGCGGGGTGGCACCAGGCTGACCTGGGGCTGGCAGGCCTGCAGCCCCCGCCTCCCAGTGGGCTGTTTCTCTCCCTTGGTGACTGGTTGGTTTTCTACACTGTGCAGTCACTTTCCCTGCTGTATACTCTGGCAAATATTTTCTCCCACCCTTTTTTATATTTTTTAAGATTGTATTTTTTTTTTAGAGAGAGGGGAAAGGAGGGAGAAAAAGAGGAAAACATCAGTGTATGGTTCCCTCTTGCACGCCCCCTACTGGGGACCTGGCCCGCATCCCAGGCATGTGCCCTGACTGGGAATTGAACCGGCGACCCTTTGGTTCACAGGGCAGTGTTCAATCCACTGAGCCGCACCAGCCAGGGCTCTCCCAGCCTTTTTTAGCTCCTCACTTTACCAGTGGTGACTGTTCTCATTCTTCCATTTTTCAGTAGTAAAACCTATTGTTTCCGAGATGGCGGCAACCCTGCCCCTAGGCCAGCAGGGCGAGGGGGCTCAGTGGTGTGCGCAGGCCCACCCTGAGGGCTGCCCCAGGAGCCCGGGCTGGGTTTGGTGCCCCCCAACCCCCTCCTCTCCTTGCCCACCGCAGATGCCCGCAGCGCGGATGATCGCCTTTGCCATGGCGCTGCTGGGCTGCGTCCTGATCATGTACAAGGCCATCTGGTACGACCAGCTCGCCTGCCCCGATGGCTTCCTGCTGCGGGTAAGGGGGGCAGGCGGCCCCAGGCTGGGGTGGGGCCCCAGAGGGAGGGCCGGGCGGGAGCCGCAGGCGGTCTCCTGGCGCAGCATCCCCCTCCCCTGGGGACCTGATCGCCAAAGTTCCTGTGCCCCCATGACCGCCCCCCGCACACTCAAACCCTCTTTCGAAGGAGTCGAGGAAAAGGTGTTGTGGCGAGAGATTTTACCTCCCTATACTTGAGAAGTAAAACCTGGGCCGGGAGGTGCAGGGGCTGTGGGGGCAGTGAGGGGCCACCAGCCCTTCCCCGCTCAGCACCTGCCCTGCCCGGAGGCTGGTCTCTGCCTCACCGACTGGGGCCTGGCCTGTCTGGAATGGGACATTAGCATTTTCTCCATAGTCTGTAAACAGTGTCTCCCTTCTCTGTTTTCCCTCTTTAACAAGGATTTTTATCATTTTTAGTGTCTTTTTCTAAAGCCTCTGACCTGCCAGCAGTGGACTAGGCTCCTTTCACCCTAACCCCTGCGTTTCTGAGACCAGCCCCGCTGGGGCGCCGAGGGCTCGCTGTGCTCCCCCGGGGTCCCTGTCTGCGGTGCGGGCGCCCGCGGCGGGGTCCCCTCGGACCCACGGCCCCCTCCCTCCCTGCCCTGGGGGGCAGCGGCCACCCCGGGTCTGAGAAGGGTTGACTCTCCGTGGAGCCTGCCCTTCCGAATGGGAGGCACACCTGTGGGGGCTTGAAATTCGGGCGGAAACGAATGTGTTGAGGGCAGTTGTGCGAAGCACCGCCGAACCGCACAAAGGCAGCTGGGGCGGCCGTCCTGGAGACCCACAAACGTGGCTCCCGCGTCCCGTCAGTTCCCCGCGTCCTCGCGCGCCCGGGCCCGGCCGCAGCGCCCGGGCCCAGCCCCCTCCCCGCTGTCCCGCCTGCAGCACAGGATGTGCACCCCGCTGACCCTGGAGATGTACTACTCGGAGCTGGACCCCGAGCGCCACCGCCGCATCATGGCCGCCCTGGGCGCCTACCAGCCCAGCGGAAAGCCGGGCGCCGAGCTGCCCGCGCCCTGGAGGCCCAGCCGCCGCGCGGGCAAGGAGGCACCCAAGGAGGCTCCGAAGGAGGCGCCCAAGGCGGCCGCCCAGGCGGGCACAGCCACGGCCACCGTGCCCCCCGGGAAGCCCGCCACGGGTGGAGAGAAGGACCCCGCGGTGCCGCCGGAGGGGAGCGCGCCACCCCCCGCCCCCGCCCCGCAGTGATGGCCCGCGCGCAGCCCGGCAGGTGAGCCCCCGATGGTGAGCCATCCCCGACCACCGCTCAGACCCAGGGACCCTCCTTCCTTCTGCCCAGCCACCGCGCCCCCACAACCCGCCCCGCCGCCGGCCGTACCTGGGCATGCCGTTCGTCCGCGGGGCCTCTGGGGCCCGGGGAGGGGCAGAGGGGGCGTCAGCAGAACAGGGCGGGACCCTCCGCCCTGCTCACCCCGCCCCGTCGTCCCGCAGCGCCCCGACCGCGGCACCTGTGACCGCCCCTCTGACGCCGCCCCGCCTCGTGGTCGTGCCCCGTCCCCTGGACCCCGCTGACGCCCGCCGCCCGGCGCCCCACGCTCTGTCGCTTTTCTCTGAGTAAAGATTCACATCCACGCCCACCTGACCTCCGTTTCTCCTGAGCATGCTTGTCCCGCCGACCTCTCCCTGCACTCCCGCCCCACCTGGGTGACCCCGCCTCAACTCCCCACTGCCGAGGGACCCCTGGACTCCGGGGGCGGGGCCGTGAGCTGGGTCCTGGGCACCCGGTTCACGCAGGCAGGCAGAGAGCGGCCCTGCGCGTCTGCCTCGGGCCGGAGCCACCGCGTCCAGGGCCTGTGGCTTCTAGCGGCTACAGTGCAGTCACCTCGCCTGCACCCACGGGAGCCCGGGGTCTGCCCTGGCACCAGGCAGCACCCACAGCTTCCTGCCCCCAACCGTTCCCCCAGACTGGAGGGGCACATGGGGCCTGTCAGAGGGGTGGGGGTGAGGCCATTGCTGGGGTTTGGGAGGGCCAGGCGGCCCCATCACACCCCCCTCCCCTGGCCTTGGAGGGGAGGTGAGGGTCTGAGGGGCCACCGACCCCAGAGCTATCAAATGTTCTCGCCCATCCTGGCGGCTCGCATCCGGCAGCTCCGGAAACAGCCCCCTTCGTGGCAGCCCCCACCCCCCTCTGCTTCTGGCCGTGGGGCTCCCTGGGTATGCCCCAGCCTGGGCAGGCCAGACCTGTGTCCCCCTCACCCCCAGCACCTGTCCTCCTCTTGTGGCTTTGATGCTGGGCCCAGGTCCTCCACCTGGTGGGAGGTGAGCACAGGCCTCACGACTGGGCGCAGGCTGGAGGTGGGGGTGACAGAGCCTGGGGAGCTCTCGCAGCCAGAGGAGCCAGCTGCTGTGCCCAAGGGCACAGGTGTGCACAGCACGCAGGGGTCAGGGTTCTGGGGGAACCCCCCCACCCCCAGCATGGAACCCCGTGACATGGATGAGAGCCCGGAACAGTCTCAGTGGGTGTTCGGGGACCCATCTAGAGCCAGTGTCAGTGAGTCTGACCCGGAGCTGGGCACTGGGGCCAGGCAGTTCCCGGGGTCCTGGCAGGGGGACAACCTCCAGGCCTGGGTGGCAAGCTGGGGGGTGCAGGCAGCACAGGACCAGGGAGCGGTGCCCAGGAGGTGGAAGTGTGAGGGAAACCGTGGGCACACTGGGGGGCGAGGGGGGCAAGGGGGTGGGAGCAACCTTGGGGGTATGGGGGGCGGGGGTCAGGGAAGGCTTGGCCGGGCCCAGTGACCTTCATTGCTGGGCTCATGTCCATCCTTCCATCCATCCATCCCTCCGTCTGTCCATTGTTACCACCTATCCCTGTAATATTGTATATCAGCTCATTCATGTCTGTTTATTATCTGTATGTCTCTCTATCTGTCTGTGTGTCCTGCTGGCCTGTATCATCTGTCTGTCATCGATGGAAAGTTTCTTGAGTCCTTTGAGAGGTGGTTGCCTCTTTACCCTTAAATACCTGTGTGGATTTCCTAAAAACAAGGGCGTTTTCTGTTATGACTCCATACAGTTACCAAAATCAGAATTGAACTTTCATGCCAAACTACTATCTAATTGACCTGCCTTACTAACAATTTGCTAATTGTCCCAATAATGGCCTTTGTTGCGGGAAAATGCGACCCAGGATCTGACCCGGGGCCCACATCTCGGGGTCTCTTTCCCTGCCGTCTGGGATGGCGCGGGCTGTCCTGGCCGGGGCAGTTCTGGGGTGTCACCATCAGCTGCTGGAGAGGGTGTTTTAGGGTTGCATCCCTGGAAGTGAGCTGTGCCCTCCTCGGTGTCACCGGGACACACAACAGGTCTGGTGTCCATCCCTGGAGAGGTCAGCCTGGGTCACTGGGCTGGGGCAGCTTCTGACAGGGCTCTTCCCTGGAAAGCAACCACTTTTCCTTTCCAAATCCATGCACTGTTTGTGGGGAGGTGCTTTGAGACTGTGTAAGTGTCTCATCCCGCAGCACCGCACCTGGCTTTGCATCCACCGCTGACTCTGGCCGGCACCACAGACACCGTCTCCAGGGGGCGCCGCTGTGCTTGCCATTTCCTCTCCCGTCACGAGTGGACTCTGCTCGCTGACTGCAGCGAAAAGCTTTCCTTTCTCCCCGGTTTGCCTCATCATTTACTTATATCCGTGTGACCCGTGACTTCCTGTCTTACTCAGTGGTGACATCTGGGACTCCAGATGTTGATTTTTATGCTCACTGCGCTGCACACCTGACAGGCCCTGCCCTCCGAGGACTCCAAACGTCTCCGGCACAAGGACGGTGCGGGCGTCTCGTGCTGCCCAGAGCCGGGGCGGGGGGGTGGTTGTGCCTGCTGCCTCCGGGCAGGCTCAGCGGGCATAGCTGGGGGGTGGATACACACACACACAGACACACACACACACACACACACACACCACACCTGTATCTCCATCCTCTCTGAAGAATATGTGTGTGTGTGAGTCCATATGCATTTGTAGACATGATGCACCTAAATCCACACAGTGTGTCCACACAACGCACACTGTGTGCATGTGCAATATACAGGGGTCTCTGCGAGTTCACAGTGAAACCCCAATCCCAGCCCCACACCCCAGAGCCGGTCCTCACCCCCCGCCCTGTGATGACGACACCCCTCCCCCACTGGAGAAACCCGGTCCCACTCGTCCTGGGAGTGCTCACTGGCTCAGCCTGAGGATGCACCGGAGCTCCTTTCGGAGCTGGTGGCCCACAGCCCTGGACAACCGGCCCCCAGCCCGGCTGGACTCTGTGTGGAGGTGTCTTCAATCTGAGCCTCTGCGGCCACATGCTCCGTCCTGAGTCGTCTGGGCCCGTGTGCCCGCGCCACTCCCCAGAAACGGTGCGGTCACTTCACTCCTCCCGAGTGTCTCTCCTCCATTCCTGTCGGTCTTACTCGGTCACTTTTAGAGTGTAAACACCCTGACAACCTGTTCTCCTCCAACGCCCCAGCGCCGGCTGAGCGTCCTACAACCCCAGCCTGACGCTGATCGCCCAGGGAGGAGGGCTCAGCCACACCTGAGCCACCACTCCCACTGTCGGTCCCAGCCCACCCCGCTCCTGCCTGACTGAGCTTCTCATTTGGTGGTCCCTTCAGATCCAACAACTCCCTCAGGTGGCTGAGAACTCAGGAAAGCACCACTTTGTAGATGACCAGCTAACTGTAAAGGATACAGCTTGGGGACAGCCAGATGGGAGAGACGCAAGGGTGGGGCGGGGCCGCTGCTGCCAGTGCCCCAGGTGTGCCCCCGCGGGAAGCTCTGCAGTCTCCTTGACCCAGAGAGAGGCGCCCACATTCTCAGGAGGCCTTTGGTCTCCGTCGGAGGCTGGCGGCCCGCTGCTGAGTCATCACCATCAGCTCAGACGTGATTGTGAGCGACCAAAGGCACTCGGCCCGTCACTCAGGAAATTCCAGGGGTTTTAGGGACGCTGTGCCGGGAACCAGGAGAAAGGCCCCATCCGCCTCTTGCTATGCCGAGTTCACTTAGCAGCCTACGCGGGAGGTGGTCCCATGCAGGTGCCCAGGGGCCCCTCCTCCGTTCCAGGGCCGCCCGGCGCCCGCGAGCAGCAGACGCACCCCAGTCTCGCCACCGCCCTCCTGCCTGTGGCCGTGACTTGCCCGCACTGTGCTGCGGAGCACGCCCTGCTGCCAGGAGAAACGTATGCTCCCGTGTTCCCTGGGGCTGCAGATCTACCTTCAGGGCCAAGTTCCTGGAAGGAGTGTGGCCGGCTACGTTATTTAAATTTATCAAGTTATAAAATTCTATAACTACAAATTTAAAACCAGCGTTTCTCAAGCTTTAAAGCTCCCTTCAAAAGCCCGTTTATCAGTAAATCCAGCAACTCTAGTGTCAGCGTGTGCCCTCACTGATTCTTTAGAGAGCACGCTCTGGAGTTGTGAAGACGTTTCACGGATGGGACAATCCTGATCGACTCGGCTCCCTAGGTATTCCACACGCTGACCACACATGGACAGATCTGACTTTCCTGACCGCTCTGAATGTGCAAGGCGGCAGGCCTCAAACCTGCCGCACGAAAGCTCTGTGGGCAGTGAGACCTCAGGCTGAATTCGCGCACTCCAAAACGAAAACCCAAGGCTGCTGAGGCAGAATTCACACCACTTCCAATTGAAACGCGTCCCGGGTGCCACGCCCTCCTAAGAGCTTGTCTCCCACAGGCTTTGGTGGGAAACAAGGTGAATTTGCAAGGCTCCCACGGCCTCGGGGTGAACCTCAGGGAGGCCGAGGGAGCCGAGCTCCACGCCCGCATGCCCTCCCGACGCCTGTCGCCTGTGACCGTGGCGGCATCCAGAGCCCCTCGGGGGGGCAGGCAGTGCCCCTGCTGGTGCTCTGGCAGACCTGAGTGTGAAGAGGCTGTGGGTGTGACCAGGCTCGGGGTGTGGAGGGGCCCCGGCCAGGCCCCTGCAGTAAGAGTCGGGCTCCTTCTGCAGACTCTGGGCGTCCTTCATTTTGTCCACACTCAAACTGGACAGAAGCCTGTGTAAAAACGCACAAGTTAGATGCTCTGGAGTGGAACCCCACGCGGCTTCATCGGGTGGTCTGCAAGGGTGACAGGGAGGACACACCACCAGAGGACACGCGCCAGGCCAGCCACCTGCCGCAGTCCTGTCTCAGCCTCCGCCTCAGTCCTCGGGGGAGGTGCCTCGGAGACGCTGCAGGGTGTTCCCCTTGGGTCTCCTCGGCGAGGTGTGTGGCGTGGTACTGTTGCCGGTGGGAGTGGGGCACGTTCATGGGATCGTGAGGAAAGTGTTTCATGGACCCACACGTGGGAGACTGTGGCGTGGCAAGATTTATTCAGGCTGTCCCTGTGTCCGATCTCTGTCAGTCCTGCATGGAAAAAGTCCAGCTGTGCCCAGCGAGGCCAAAAGGAAGAGTGTCTGTGTCATTTTAAAGCTTAGCCCTTGGGCTGCCACGGACTACTGCCAAGTGGTCTCAGCCCCCAGGCCGCCTAGCGCCGCTCCCGGCTGTGCTGCTGCACCCGGCTCCCGCCCGGAGCCCGCACTACGAACGCGAGAACAAATGGGGCAATTGCAGGCCACTGAGCAAGAGAGCCGGGTTGGGGGGGCTTTTTAGAGATTTTATTTATTTTTAGACAGACGGGAAGGCAGGAAGGAAGAGAGGAAGAGAAACGTCCATGTGTGGTAGCCTGTCCTGTGCCCTAGGGGACCCGGCCCGCAACCCAGACCTGTGCCTAGGCATCGAACCGACAACCTTCTGGTTCCCAGGCCGCGCTCTACCCAAAGCCACACCAGCCAGGGCGGCCCACGAGCTTTTTCAAAACAACCAATCGACTTCCCAAGCTTTCACAGGCTTCTTCCGATGGGTCCACCCCCTACCCCCCTAGCCAATTGATGGCTTGCCCAGGCTAGACTGACAGGCTTCTATGGACCAGCACCTCCCCCTGCGCCATTTTGGCTTCCATTGCGCATGTGCTCACCTCCACCTGCTCCCTGTTCCCCGCCACAGTCCGGTACCCGACGGGGAGGGAGGGGTCTCGACCCTCGTGGGTGTCGCCGCGGTCCCCTGGGGTGTGAAGCTGTGGCCTCCTGGAGAAGCGGGCCGGCTCCTGCTGCCCAGCCCGTCAGGCTCAGCAACCTGCAACTCGCTTGGCCGCCTTCCCTGCCGACAGCTCACCAACCACCGATGCCCTCAGGGAGGGGTCCTGGAGCCCGGCCCACCGCCCCGAAGAGCCTCCCGGGGCGTGAGAGCTGCCGGGGCTTCGGTGGTGCGAGAGAAAACGTTCCCAGTGGGAAATGTCGCACAGCGCGTCCGGTGAACAGGATCCCTGATGAGGGACCCCACGGCGCGGGCGGTGGGTTCAAGGAGAACAAGAGAAATTCCATGTGCTCCTCGGGGACAGTGGCGTAGGGGACAGTGGCGTAGGGGGCTGGCCTCTCCCTGGTCACACCACTGCCACCGGCTGCTCCTTCAGGAGCCAGCCTCCCCCGCGCCCCTGGCTGCCTTCCTCACTTCCCGTCGCACCTGCCACTATTCACGAGTCACAGCCCTCAGAGCCCTGGTCCTCAAGGCCGTTTCAAGGTTAACACCTGGAAGTCAGGCAAACACTCGCTGAGGGCCAGGCCCAGGGACACAGGGACGGGGTCCAGGCGGTGGAGACCCCACTCAGGTCGGTCGCTACAGCCCACACCGAGGTCGCCGTCCCAAACACAGACTCTGTGCTCGTCAGGCCAGCCCCTGGCACAGCGGGTCTCCGGCAGCACCGGCACCGCCGTGAAGGAGCTGCAGGAAGAAAGGTGGGGAGCCTGGGACCTGGGGGTCAGAAGGAGGCCAGTTCCCATGTGACTTCATGCCTGTGCCACAGAGCCTCCAGAACTGCAGGTCCCTATAGGACTGGGCAGGTCACACTGAGGCTCACAGGTCAGGAAGGTCACAGCAGGATGACACAGGCCCAACCCCTACGGGAAGGTCGCCCACAAGGGCGGCTGGGAAGGTGTAGGAGGGGCCTCTGCTGGTTGGTGTCTGCAGCTACTGGAGGCCTGTGCCTGGGGCCAGGGGGCAGCGAGGGTCGTTCAGGGCCCTGTGGGCCAAACAGTGGACGGAGGCAGCGATCCACAGAGCAGCTGAGCCAGTCTCGCCAGTACCGAGCCTGGCCATGGCCCGAGGGTTCCAGGGGAGACAGGGACACCTGCCCAGCGCTGGACTTCAGGTCTGCTGGGACATCACCTGCCAACTGCTCATTCAGTGATGCGTAAACCAAGGCCCAGGCCAGAGCCCCAGGGCCACCCCTCACCTCCCAGGTCCTGCCTCTGCTTGGGCTGGAGCTACAGGCGTTCTCTGGGGAGAGGCAGGAGGCAGGAGGTGAGGGTCCCGCTCCCTGCGGGTGCAGAGTGATGAAGGCCGTGCAGCTCAGGGACGGTGCAGCCTGCAGTGCTCCCTGCTCTGTCCCCAATGTCCAGAATTGGTTCTCGGTCACCTTGTGGGGGTGCCACCTGTTCCTGTGGGATGGTCAGAGTCGGCGGTGAGGATGAGGACTCTGGCACGGCTGCGGCTCCGGGGGGCAGTGTTGAGCATCAAGCACACCCTCCCCAGAAGGTGGGGATGGAGAGAGGCTGGGTCTTCCTTTCAGGACCTGGGGCCAGGGCGGAGCAGGCAGGGTGCACTGGTCTGGAGTCAACAGCCAGAGGCACAGGTCTGTTGGGGTGTCCACACTGAGCACCGCGCAGACCTTCCCCTGCTCCCACCCCTGTTTCTGGACGAGGACGGCTCTGCTTGGCAACCCAAGGCTCTGGCACCGAAGGCGGGAGCTCGGAGTGGGGTGTGTCTGTGCCCCAGTCTCTAGGGGTGAGCTTGTCTCCATCTCCTTGTCCAAGAACAAAGGGCAGGTGCTTGGAGGAGCTGCTCAGAGAGGGGGCCCAAGGGCGCTGCCTCTGGCCCCTGGACATACACTGGCCATCCAGACAGGCAGTGACTGTGTCCTCTGAGGGCAGGCCAGTCCTCCTGGCACCTCAGGGCTCCTAGGTGAGCCCACTCCTTCCCTGGCCTCTTCTCAGGGAGTTTGACCAAAGTCCCCCTCCCCAACCTGTCAGGCCAGAGCAGGACACCAGCTCTGGTGGGCTGACAGCAGTCACCTCTGCCCTAGAGCAGGCCATGCAGGGGCCGTGGGCTGCCCCACTTCCCACGCCTAAGCAGAGGTGAGAAGCTGTGCACCAGCCAGGCCTCCCATTGTCATGTCCACAGTGCGGCCTAGGGGCGGCTGCGAGTCCCACACGAGCCACTGCCCAGGGCCCTCCCATCATCCCCTGGGGCTAGCCTCCGGCTCCCTCCAGCTGCACAGAGACGTACTGGCAGAAACACAGGCCGGGCTGCAGGTGGCTCCGAGCTGCTGTGACATCCCCACAGTGGGGGAAGTGTGCCTGCACCAGGCAGCAGGCATAGGCGCAGGAGAACTGCAGCAGGGCCTCCTGGAACAGGGCCTCGCCCTCGGGGGCTGCAAGGAAAACCTGCCGGCAGTCCTCCAGCCGCACGAACACGAAGGACAGCTGGTTCAGGGTCTCGCAGCCCATCAGCACGGAGTGTGGCGCCAGCAGCTGGTTGGCCTCCCCCACCCTGAGGACCAGCTCCCGCATCTTCTTCCTAGAAAACCTTCTGAACCAACACAGGGTGTTAACTGCTAAGGTGATGAAGAGAAGGCTTAAAAACAGACAGGTGGTGGCTGGTAGGAGCTGCAGATCCCGGGGATCAGGCCGGGCAAAGGAAACCACGGTAAGCATGATGAAAACCCCGGAGAGAAGGAGGAGGAAGATGCCGAGAGGCACCCTGCAGCCCAGGTACCGGAGGCAGGACCTGGGGGACTTGGCCCCATTCAGGATGCCCACGGCATGCTTGTACACCTCGGGGTCCTGCAACACTTCCTTCAAGGGGTCCGGGACACCCAGGGTGCTGAAGGTCCCCACCTTCCAAGAGGGCAGGCTGGTCCTGTTGATGCAGTTCACGGTCAGGAGGGTCTTCCCACTGTAGAGAGCAGGGACGGGGTGCCGGCCGGGCAGGGGGCACGCCATGCGGTGGCTGGGCGTGCACAGGAGCCGCGCCACCTTGTTGTAGAAGCTGCTGTCCGTGGCCTCCAGGTAGGTCAGGTGGCTGAGGTGCAGCGGGACCTGGCAGGGCCGCAGCAGGACAGGGATGACTGGCTTCCTGTCCAGGCAGTAGCCGAAGAGGGACAGGTCGGCCTCTAGGAGGCACCACCGGCTCTGCACGAAGTCCTGGCTCAGCACCAGCAGCACCTTCTGGCTCTGATGGATGCACTCGGCCATGTTCTCCAGGACGTTCCTGCCCGGGGTGAAGTCCCTCTCGTGCAGGCAGACCCTCAGCCCCGCGTGGTCGGCTTCCAGGCGGCCGATGAGCCCGTGGGTCCACGTGGCGTCCACGCTGCTGTAGCTGACAAACAGGTGGAACCTCTCGTTGGGCCCCAGCGGGGGGATGGCTGGGGCCATGGCTTCCTCCTCACAGCTGGACTCCATAGGGGCTGTCCCCGAGCTGCTTCTGGTCTCCTGCAGAGAAAACCACCCTCAGGCTGCAAGAGATCAGGACAGACAGACTGACTATGCAGACCGACAAGGTAGACCATCCATAAAGGTGGAAGAGGGTCCGGAACCCGCAGGTATGGCCACAAACAGCCCTGTGATGACCTAACAGCTGGCCTGAGCCCCCCGGGACAGGCCCATGACCGCCAACTCCCTGAATGGCTGCTTCCCTTTCCAGCTCAGGGCCCACCGGAAAAGGCCAGAGCACACCCTGACCCCTCTCCAGGTTCCCCGGCCCAGGCTCCGCGGGCCCCGCCTCCCTCGGGGCTCACCCGGAGCCCCTTGTCCCCTGCCAGCCTTTGGGTCCCTGCCGAACCCAGGACCACGGGCCCCTGCCCCCGGGGGCCGCTCTGACAGAGCCGCCCCTGCCGTCGGCGCCTGGGGTCCTCCAGACATTTGATGTTGAAAGGGCTGGGCCACTTGGAGCCACACTTTCCAGCCTTTCTTTCCCTTCAGACGTGGTCATGGGGGGTTGCTGTGCACTGACCTTTGTGCCCCCGCCCCGGTCTGCATGTGGAAACCCTAACCCCCAATGTGACAGTGGTAGGAGGGGGGCCTCTCGGGGTGATGAGGTTGTTGGGTGGGGCCCCCACGATGGGATTAGGGGCCCCAGGGAGCCCCCTGCGCCTATCCCCCGTGAGGACACAGCCAGCCAGGACCAGGAGGCGGGTCTCCCCAGGACCCGGCTGCGCAGCACCCTCTGCTCGGGTCTGCGGCCTGCAGAGCTGTGAGAGACAACTGTCCGCTGAAGCCCCCTGGTCCGTGGCTGCTGGGGGCGGGAGCGCACCCAGACGGGGCCTCTCCACAGCACTTGCACCTGCCAGAGAGCACTCCAACTTTCCCCACGCGGCTCAAGACCCTTGAGTAGAGGGCCTGCTGCTCCAACCCTGTGAGCGAAGGGCAGAGATGAACAGTGGCGGTTGGGGTGGATCCACTCCTTTCCTGGGCACTCGAGGCAGGGGCTTGCTCGTGTGCCAGCTGCGTTGGACCCAGGAAGCGGTCCTGGCCTCAGGGCCAGCCCCGCAGACACAAAGTGGGCTGTGACCTCACTCTGCCAGGTGGTGCCCAGCTGAGAACGCTCCCCACTTGGGTGAGCAGCAGTGGGGCCAGAGGAGGGGCGGCCAGCCCTGCAAGGCCCCTGTGCCCTCTGGCCAGCAGCTCTGGGAATGAAGGAAGAGGGAGTTCACTTCCACAGGGTCACCCACCCCCACCTGCTCTGCTTGGCACCTGCACAGGTCGGGGTGAGGGGGGGACAAGGAAAAGGCGTGCCCCTTAGCCCACCCAGCATGGCCCAGCAGCCTTTGCAAGAGCCCACCATGCCCACCCTTCCGGCCCAGGGAGCCTGTCCACCTGGGGCACCACTCCCCTGACTCTCGTCCCTTTTGGAAGGTGGCAGATGACAGAGGCTCGGAGGGACAGGGTCTCTCTTCACCCCCTGAGTGAGTGAGGGTGGGTGAGAGTAGGCACCCTCCCGTGCAGCAGGAACCTGCTGGCCCCCAGTCTTCTCACCTGCTCAGGCGAGGTCTGGCACCAAGCGCCAAAAAATGTCACAGGCTCCCAGGCAGCAGCACTGGCAGTGCTCGAGGGGCTGGGGGCAGCCAGGGACCCTCCCCCAGAGAGAGCTGGCGAGCCTACTTTCCAGAGGCTGAGACTAAGGAACAGGAAATGAAACCAAAAGTGGAAGGGGGAGGGGGCGGGGGCGAGGGGTGGAGCCTGACTGGGGGAAGAGGCAGAAAGGCAGGGTGGCCAGGCAGCCTGGAAATCTGACTGCTGCTGACACTAGGTGCTCCCAGGGCACTGGAGCTAGGGTCCCTCCCGTGGGCGGCTGCGACTGGAAGGGCCACCGAGACAGAGGAGCTCCTGGATGGGTGCAGAGCGGCAGGCCGGGCCAGGATTGGGGTGGGAGGGACAATTCCAGCCAATGGGCGACCCTCTCCATGTGGCCACACCCTGGACTAAAGGCAGGCAGCAGCCTGGGGCCCATGGCCCCCTGGCTCGCCTAAACCCACTTACAGCCAGTAACTGGTGCCTTCACCAGTTCTGCTCAGTAACCCAAGGGACTGGCCGTCTGTGTCCCTCTGAGCCCTGCCTCAGTGTCCTCCTCGGCTCAGCAGAGGCTGTTGGGGGCCTGGAGTGATCATGCCTGCAAGGAAGGGAGAGAAGCTGGGCGGGTGGGAGGGGGCAGGGGTGGGTTCAGGGGAAGGCGTCTCTGCCCTTCGCTTCTGTTACCTGTGCCCAGGAGTGGGGTGTCCTCGGGGAAACACACCAGCCCCGGAGTGGGCAGCGTCGGTGGCTCAGAAAGGCGCAAAGCCAACAGCGCTAATTTCAGAATTGATTTTAAAAACTGATCTGTCTGTAAAAAAAAATGCAACACATTCCAAACGGAAATAAACAACAGAAATAGTGTCTACCTTCCAAAATACAAGTAGGAAAATCATTATTATTTTTAAATAAGACTAAAGAAAATCAGGGTAGGAGAAAAACGAAGCAAAGACAAAGGAGTAAATAGAAAGCACAGAAAAGATCACACAACTAAATCCAAATATATCGGGAATTATATTACATATGAAATGTGCTTGATATCTCAGTGAAAACGTGGAGATTCTCACGTCGGCGAACAAGTAAAACTAAGCTACATACTGTCTTAAACACGGGTGCCAGAAGGGTCCTGGCACTGGGTCGCTGGGGTGGCTGCACAGCGTCGTCCAGGACATGTGGGGGCAGTTAGCCAGGTGTGAGCAGGTACAGGTGACTAGGGCAGAAAGCCCTGCAAAACTGGGAAAACAAGGACCTCACCCCAGGACCACCTTTCCTCCCTTAGCTTAGGGGCTGGCCACGTGGTTAGCTCGCCGTAACAAAGAAGGGACAGGAGAAGAGCCCGGAAGCACGAAGCCCCCAGGACCAGGAGGTTCTGACCCACAGCAGACACAGCTGGGCCTCAGCTGTGTTTCAGCTCCAGGCCCAGGAAAGCAGCAAAGCCAGACACGTGACTCCGTAGCTGACATGCGGCTCAGCTGCGGTGACCAACGACCCCTGGTGCCGACCAGTCAGTGGAGACCACACCCTGGAAGGACACGCCCGGACAGCTGATGACCAGTCTGTTGACATCCTGCCCTGGGGTCGCCCCTAAAATCCGCACCCTTAGGCCAGAGGGCCAGGAGTGGCCTTCCTTCCCAGAGTGGGCAGGCGCCTCCCCCCCGCCCCGCCCCCGCCCGCCACGAGCACGCCACCTTCGCCCTTCTCTCTCCCAAGCTCCAAGGGCCCTGCCTTGGCCTCTGTGTCTTGTCGTCTGAGCCCGTCTCTTCCCCTCTGTGGCTTTTAAAATAAACTTTCTCTTATAGTTTGAGTCTCGGCTCTGAATTCTCCCTTAGCCAGGGCTCCAGGGCCGAGGCTGCCGAACAGAGGTTGGGCCCGACCCCGCACCTCTGGTCTGACTCCTGGTGCCGTTCTTGCCTCACCAATAGACGCACTAAAAACCGCTAAAATGTTTACTGTAAAATGGTCAGTGTTATGTGCATTACATCTCAACTGATGATAAAAACAAGATGGCACGTGAGAGAGAAGGTAGCGGAGCCCACTGGTAACCAGAAGCTGAGGGCCACCCCTGGGCATGCGCACTGGAGCCTCCGCGATGCAGCCCCTGCAGATGCCGCTGAGGTCCAGGGAGAGGAAGCGCCACCTGCTGGAGCTGCGCCGCAAGTCCCTCCGGCGCTCCGTGTGTTTTGTTAGCACGGAGCCGAGAGGACCCCTCCTGGGCTGGGCTGGGGCTCTCCTCCTCCTCCTCCCCGGACTCTCTGGGCCTGGAAATACACCCCCAGGCTTGGCCCCCATCTTCCAGCCTGTCTGTCCTGCTCCATCCTGGCCTCGAATCCTGTTTGACCACTCCCTCCCGAGGCTGGTGGTCACCTCTCCCTCCTTGTCATGAAGGCTGGACTGAATGACCTCAGCCCGCTGCTCCCTGAGCCTCTTTGACCAGGGACTGGACAGCCGCAGGCGCTGCAAGGGATGGGTAGTGGACCTGCTGCTTGCAGGACCCAGAACTGGCTCCCCCTGGACTCCTGGGTCCTGTGGCCCCTCCTCCGCACACCTCACACCCAGGGCACAGCAAGTGCTCCGCCCCCAGGTCCCCGCTCTGCCAAGTCTTGGTTCTCTCTGCCGGTACCCCTTCTCGCTTCACTTCCAGGTCCTGGGTTCAGCCTCCCCATGAGGCCCCAGGGCATCTCACCCTCACCCAGCAGGGGTGCTGCGTCCCAGCTCACTGGCCCTGCCTGGTGGGGCTCCACAGGGTGGACACGGCACCTGTGCAGCTGGCCCAGTCTGTCCCCCTCTGCCCACCACACCAAGCTCTCTCTCACCTTCGGGGCCCGGGAAGCCCTGGCTGTGGGAACCAGGCATTCACTTCCTCCCTGTTCTCAAGGCCACAGCAGGATGGGCCTGGCACTTCCTGGTGGGTGGCACAGTCAGCTTTCTGCCAAGAAGGGACATCGGGCTCTCATCCAAGAGTGGGTAGACAGTGTGCTGCTCACAGCCGGGGCCTGCATGGCCGAGGTTGTCAGGGTCACTCGGGGGCTGGGTGTCCTCACAACCATAGCCTCGGGGACAGAGGAGGGGAGACCCGTGACTGGAGCGTCCCTCTCAGTGCTGCCTCCTGGTCTTTCCTCCCGGGGAAGCCTCTCCAAGGGTTCCTCCAAGGACTCAAGGGTGTCTGCGGTTTTACCAAGGTGTCACACGGACAGCTGTGGCCGGTGTCTGAGTGTGGGACCGGCAGGGGGATGGGCCAGAGCTGACCTTGAGGTCAGAGGGCAGGAGGAAAGGTGAGGGGTTCCTTGTCAGTGGGCCTCGGCACTGTCCCGACACAGACCTGGGCAGGCTGGCACTGACCAGGTTAGTGGCTAGGCGGGGCCCTGTGAGTCTCAGCCGGACTTCAGAAAAGCTGAAGAGCAAAGGCTGGAGGGGACTCTGGCACTGCAGCTCCCGGGCAGGAATCCCAGCTGGTTCTGACATGGCTTCACCTCGGCAGGGGTCAGAGTGTCAGCTGCAAAGAGCGTGTACAGCCCCTCAGAGAGCCTGGCCAGTCAGTGCTGTCTGTGAGGCCCAGTGTACCCCGCCCTGCGGCGTTTCTGGGTCTTCCCCAATGCCTGCAACTCGAAACACACCTACCTCCTGTGATGTGGGTCCTGCCGGACATGAGGGTGGGGCCGGTTCTGCAGACCCCCCCCCCCACCCAGGGACTGCCTCTGCCCAGCGACTGGCAGAGCACCACCACACCAGGCCGCCTGCCTTGCACCCCAGCCCAGATTTGGTCGCCGATGTGCTCTCAGGAAGTCAAAGGCCCAAAGGCCAGGTGTGTGTGTCCAAGGCCGGCACCTCCTTGCTGGGCATGCTTTCTGCAGCCACTGGCTCTCAGGTCTCCCCTCCCAGAGTGGGGAACGGGGTGAGACGTGAACCCCAGCGTAGACTGCACAGGTCCCAGCCCAGGGCTGTGACCCTGCCCCCCACATCTGCTCTGCATCCATCACAGCGTTCCTTTTGCCTTCTTCCAAACCAAGAGACCAGCTCACACGGGAGAAAGAAACCCTGGTGGGAACTGAGGGGCTGTGAGAAACTGTGTGTCAAGGTGCACCGGCCTCCAACAGCCGCTGTAGGTGGGGGTCCCCGGGGACAGTCGTCCATGCGGTCCAAGTTAATTCGCTAATTTGCTTGGGGCTCGGTGCTTCCATCTTCCCGTTTGTCCCTAAAATGGGTTTGGAAACAGGCTCAGCTTTCAGCCACCCCCGCTGGGCCAGGAGTGGGGTTTGTGGTGCCGCAGCTGGAGGCGCGGAACAGGAGCTGGGCCCTGGCCCAGAGTGCTTGGCAGCCCAGGACCAGTGGGTGCTGAGCCCGGCTCCACAGACTCTGCCTGCCAGCCCAGCCAGGTGCACAGCTGGACACTCAGGTGAGCAGTAGTAGCACCCCCCACCCCCGCACACACAGCTGCTCAGGGCTGCGAGGTCACTGCTCCCAATCAGGCTGTGAGGCCCCAGGGGAGCCAGAGCCACGCCGTGCCCACCTGGCTCCATGGAGAATGGGCTCTGGGGCTGTGTGAACCTACCAGCTCGGAGTGCTGGGGCTGCCAGCGACATGACGCTGGCCGGCGTCCACGACAGGAGTCTCGGCCTTGCTCCTTCTCACAGGACATCAGCAGTCGTGGCCCATGAGCCTCGTGTGGGATCAGAGGTGACCCCATGCAGGCTGCACCCTCTCTGATCACCAGAGGAAACAGGCCCACAGCCACATGCCCCCGTCCGGTGAGGAAGGGCTCAAGTTGTGTGGCCCTTGGGCGTCCTGGAGCAGGATGCCGGAGGATATATTTATTAAATCGATAACTGTATCCTCAGTTGAGGATTTAAAAAAATTTAAAACTACTGTAAACATACATTTTTTATTAACAAACTTCAGGCCTACATACACACCAGTGCTGTGGTTTCATCTGGCTCAGGATGCTGAGTGGATACATTTGTGACAAGTGGCCACTGGCTTGCAACATCTCCATCTGAGCTGCTCACCCCTGAGCTGCTCATCAGGGGGGTGGTCTTCCCCACAAGACCCAGTCCTTGGATAGTGGCACCTGAACTCCCAGAGCCCCTGAGACTGGCACCCAACCCAAAACCCCAGGGCAGGAAACCCCATGCAGAGCTGGGGTTGGGGGCAGAGGCACTGCCTGCTCCCAGAGGGCCAGAGCCAAGCCCTCTGTCCAGGGCTGCGCTCCAGGGCCTGGCCACGCTCAGGCGGAGGGCCCACAGGTGCTTATCCGCTAATGAATGAATGAGCTAACAGAAGGTGAGATTCTACGCCACACACACTCGGTGCCCTTGCAGGAAGAGCTGATGTGTTCCAGGTGAACAGGTGCCCGAGAAACAGGTGTGCAGACAGCAAGTGCCACCTCTCCGACCTCCTCTCACCCCATGTCCGCTGACCGGGCCTCACCTCAGGCACAGAGCTGGCTGCTCGGAGAAGAGGAGACAAATGCCCCTTCCACCACCAGCTCGAGTCCCAAGCGCAGGAAATGTGGGGTCCTTCACACCCACCCACGCACCCCTAGACGAACCCAGCACAACCTCTGAGGCCTGGGACCCCATCCAGGGTGATTGCGCTGGGGCGCTTGGTGTCACTGTCCCCAGAAGCTCGGGGACTTTCTCCCACCTTCCTTCCCCTTTCATTCTTTCAGCAAGCACTGAAACAAGAAAGACACAACCAAGAGGATCAGAGCACTGAGATCTCGCGCTGCTTCCGCACCGTGAGTCCTGGGAGGGTTGCCTGGTCCCACTGGGACCCCTGGACTGAGCTCCAACTCGCCCACTGGGGTTGGGGCTTTGGGAGGGGCGGACCATCTCCGGAGAGCCTAGGCCGTCGCCCGCCTGGGCCCCGCCCCTACCAGACTGGCGGTCCCGCCCCGCGCCCGCCCCAGCACTGGCCCCGCCCACCCTAACAGGCGGCCCCGCCCCACCGTGGCCCCGCCCCAGGCCCGCCCCTCCAGCGAGAGGCCCAGCTGCGCAGAGCTGCGGCCGCGGACACCGGGCTGGTTTTAATAAAGTTGAAAAGAAAAGGATGAAAAGGAGCTGAAACCGAGCGGCCGGACGGCAGCCCCGCGCGCGGGGTGGGGGCGCTCCGGGCGCCGCGACGCCGGCCAGGACTTCAAAGAAGCAATTACCCGGGTCGGGCGGCGGGAGGCCGGGGAGGCGGGGCTGCGAGGTGGGGAGGGGCGCGGAGGGCGAGGACAGCGGCGGGAGGAGAGGCCGAAGGCGCCGGGGAGGCCCGGCGCCCTCCGCCGGGAATGCCGGCCCTCCCCACGGAAGCACGCGCGGGCGGGGCGCGCCGGGTCGCCCGTTGAGTGGCGCGGCCATTGTGCCGGCGCTGTGAGCGGCGACACGCTCAGAGACCGCTTCCCGGTGACGTCTCAAAGGGCCTTTGACGGGGAGCCCCTGGCGGGAGGGCTCACCTGCAGAGAGGCTCTATTGAGCCTTTGAAAGCGCAGCAGCTGCCAGGGGCTGTCGGCGGGGCACCTACGGGGACAATGAATGAGAGGCCACTTGGAAACAGCAGGCTTGTGCCAAGCCCGCAGGCTGGGAAAGAAAAGTGCTCTTCATCAGCGACTCGGGGTTTGAAGGGGACTCTTTCTCAGCCGCGGCGCCCTCATGTGCATGACAAAGGGGCCGCGGGCGCGGGCCGCGAGGCGACAGTCCCAGCCGGGCAGCGGTGCGCTCAAGTGTGGCGGTCCGTCCCGAAGTGGAACCCGGCCCTGCGCCCGGCGGCGACCCGGGCCTGTGCGGGTGCTTCTCCTAGCCCTACGCTGGGGCGCTCGGGCTGCGAAGCCGAGGGTCTCCCGGGAAGGAGGCAGAGCCAGCCCTGGCCACAACCCGGCAGTGGGGCCTGGAGTCACCACCTCCGTCTCTGCCCAAACCACAACTGCCTGTCCAATAACCACCGAGGAGAATTTGAAGTGGGGGAGCCCTCCAGGCCACAACACCCCGAAGAAGGAAGCCTGGTTTTCCTTCCACCCCCTGAGGTTGCCCTTGGGATCCAGAGAGGTCAGGCAGTGGCTTTCTGAGGCCCAAAGAGGGGGAGGCTCTTCTGCACCCTGAGCTGGGGGAGGGGAAAGCAACCTCCGTCACCCAACACACTTAATAGACCCCCAGGCGCGGGACCTGCCCCGACTTCCCCACTGCCTCCTAACCGCATGCCCTTCGAAGGAGGAGCAGGAGGACAGACGTGGGGACTGGGGGGGGGGGTGCGGCAGGGCTGTGGAAATGCTCTTCACCAACGTGTCCACACCGGAGGCACAGGGGAGCCCCCTGGGGAGGGCACCCCAAGTCGGGCTCACTGCCCAGGGGATCTCAGTGGTCTGAGCTGGGTTCTCTGCCCCCCATACCCACCCCATTCTGGATGGGTGGGGTGCCCTTTGGAGCCCCGTGTACCTGGGGGTGCACAGGGCAAGGCTGCCTGCCTCCTGGGGCTCAGCATACCTCACAGGCAAGAACCTGGGTCCTTCCTTGGGTCTCGTGAGACTGCAGACCACCCAGCCCTGCCCTGGGGGGGGGTGGGAGGGACTGGCTCGTCCTTGGTGACCAAGAGTCATGTGGCAGCAAGAGCATCAGCCTGTGGAACCTTCAGGCCTGGGACATCCCTCAGCTTAGGCTGAGCCCCTTTTTGAACCTCGGCCGAGGGTCCTGCCCCTGCCCCTGACGCCCAGCAAGTCTCCCCCTCAGAGCAGAGAGAGCCCTCGGCCTTGGCCTGCAAGCCTGGCTGCCCGGCTCCTCCCTGCCAGCGGCCCGTTGGACAAGCACCTCCAGGACTCCACGCATGCCCCAGACGGGCCAGTGACTCCGTGCCAGGCTGACGAGCAACAGCCTAACA